GCAACCCCACACAATTCAACATTATCATTGCAATCCGATGCAAGCAATGCCCATTTATGTCTGGTGATCTCACGCAACTGTAACAAGCTAGGAGCAAATACAATGAGTTTATCTAAGTAACATGGACATCTGATAGCATTTGCAGGAATACCTTGCCAGGCCCCATCCCCACAAATCAGAAGCACATCAGGAGGTAAGGCCAAAGCTGCACAATTGTTCCAAACACTGTAGTTGTTACCCCTTGTCTCCATGCTACAAACCCCTAAACCCTGCTTAGCAGCGTCATTGTAATCACAGATGTTATTTGTGTTTTTGTATCAGTATGGCCCTTTCCCGGTTCCTGTAGCAGGATTCACCTGATAGCCACGGCTACGTTCACATTTGTAGCCACCTTTCAGGTTGATACAGATTTGACTACAGATACCAGGGTTTTGACATTCATCAATTCCACAGTTTCCCAGCTGGACAGTCACATTCATTTTTGTGGCATTCCTTCAGGGGCATCACCCCAGTCCTTGCAGTCTCTCTGCTGGTTACACACTTTATTGATATCTATGCACACAAAGTCAGATTCAGTACACATCTTCTTCACACAAGCACTCTCATCACTGCCATCTGAGCAGTCTTCACATTTTACTCTAGCACCGTTGGCAGCAGTGCACAGTCAGGCGAAGGCGAGCAGCAGGCAGAGCGCCCCGCACCATCACCTGTGTCACTTATACTACTCCTATTACCCATGCTGTTAGTGTCAGTGGCATCCTCCTTGTACCGTTTCTGTCTTTGTCTCCCCCCTTTTCTTTTTGTCACTGGCCATTCACCACAAATGGATAAGACACATGATTACTAGTTAGGAAAGAGAGTGTAACATCTGCTATATGGCTGCAGGCAGTGCCAGCTGCAACCTTAGGTTTGTGAAAGAGCCTGCCGGTGGTCATTTGGCAGTGTAATCTGCGTCTCTGCACTCCTGCCCTGCAATAGAGCTAAGTCGTCATTAGTAATAGTTATAACACCGATCTGGGGACGAATAGTCTTTTTTTGCATTGCAAGATAAACCTTTTATAAAAAGAATGCTAGAGTGAAGCAGCACAGCCGCTGCTGCCGCTGCCTCCATGGTCACGTCAGACAGGCTGCAGGGTCCTGATGTCCGCCCCTCTGCTATGTGCGGACTCGCCACACGCTGAGGGTCAGCTACCGGTGTCCACTGACGCCTCTGGTCTCCCGTAGCAACTCGATCTCGGATGTCCCGCGTCGCACTGCAATTACTTCAATTTCCCCGCGTTTTGCAGCTTCTGTCAGGTCTATTCTGTGTCTCTCAGAGCCATCCGTGGCTCTGCAGCGTCTCTCAGGGCTCTCTCCGTCCAGCGGTAGTCCCTCCGTAGTGTCTCACCTCTGGTGAAGTGTTCTGTGAGTGAGATGCAGTGCGGCTCAGGTCAAAAAGACTGTGACAGAGATCCTGATTGCAAGGATGGAAGTGATGAAATTAACTGCCCTTCTCGGACCTGCAGGCCAGACCAGTTCAGATGTGAAGATGGGAACTGTGTCCATGGGAGTAGGCAGTGCAGTGGAGTGAGAGACTGTCTGGATGGCACTGATGAAGCAAACTGTAACAATGTTATTCAGTGCTCTGGACCTGGCAAATTCAAGTGCAGAAGTGGAGAATGCATAGATATCAATAAAGAGTGTAATCAACAGAGAGACTGCAAGGACTGGGGTGATGAGCCCCTGAAGGAATGCAACATAAATGAATGTGACTGTCCAGCTGGGTTTGAGTTTGTACACAAGAGAAACTGTGGAGATTTTGATGAATGTCAAAACCCTGGTATCTGTAGTCAAATATGTATCAACCTGAAAAGTGGCTACAAATGTGAACGTAGCCATGGCTATCAGATGATTCCTGCTACAGGAACCTGGAAAAGGCCATACCGGTACAAAAATACAAATAACACCTGTGATTACAATGACGCTGCTAAGCAGGGTTTAGGGGTTCATAGCATGGAGACAAGGGGTAACAACTACAGTGTTTGGAACAATTGTGCAGCTTTGGCCTTACCTCCTGATGTTTCTCTGGTTTGTGGGGATGGGGCCTGGCAAGGTATCCCTGCAAATGCTATCAGAAGTCCATGTTACTTAGATAAACTCATTGTATTTGCTTCTAGCTTGTTACAGTTGCGTGAGATCACCAGACATAAATGGGCATTGCTTGCACCGGATAGCAATGATAATGTTGAATTGTGTGGGGTTGCAGCTAGAGCGGCATTGGCAATTTTAGTGCTTGGAGTGGCATCTGTGGCCGCACGTAACAACTGCTTGGCTGCAGGGATCGGCTGCGGTGTGGACGCCCCTAGGTGCACCCTGAGCGTTTTGTTCGGAGGGGACTCCACTCTCAGCTGCTCACCGCAGGAGCAGACAAAGATCTCCTGTAGCTGCAGACAAACAGTAGGTTTTCAGCTGCTGGAGGGATACTAACTGGAGTATTAATAATTGTATATGTTATTCTTAAATGTCCAGGTATTTTGTGTTGAAAGTATTTGAGTAAGGGTAAGGTTTTAAAACAAAGTGTTGCAAGTCACTTCATGAGGAACACAATGAGAGACAATACTTGTTTGTTTGCTTATCATTCTAAATTATATTCTTGTGGTATGATTGAGGTTGTGGTATGATTGAGAGTGAGATGTGCCAGAGGCCTCTGGGTGTATGATTGTACTCTGTATGTGTGATTGTACTGTGTACTGTGTGAGAGAGAGCGCATTTTAGCCATAGCACAGGTTATTGTTGCCATAGTGCAGGATTCCGGAATATAGCCATAGTACAGGTTATTGTTGCCACAGTGTAGGATCCCGAGATATAACCACAGTGCAGGCTAAAAGCATAGGTAATTGGTGCCGGCAAAAATCATAGAAAAATGGATTTATTAGAAAGATTCAATATGATATCAATCCTTTCAATCAATGGTTCACTGATTTGTTTGAAACAATGCATAGATGGTTACTGGGATTAGTCAAAGGGGCATTAAGGATTCTGTTCATTGTGGTGTCAATCATCATTACACGTAGTATTGTGATAAATGTGGTTAAAGGGTTACTTGCAAAATGTTATAGGGATTTTGAAGTGGTGCCGGGAACAGGTACCCAGTGGATCACTGTAAAGTGGACTGAAGCAGTTTTAGAATCTGCACACGCTGAAGACGACCAAGAAGAGGTTCCTGATAATCTGACAATGACGTGGGCTGTGACACCTCAAGGACTGTCAAGAACAGCCTTTGATCACCATCAAGTGATTAGGTTTAAGTGTGTTACTATTAAGTTGTGTTGCTTACTATTAAATTGTGTTACCATTAAGTGTTTACAGTAATTGTGGTGTTATTAGGGTTAAGTTGTATAGTTGTGTTATGTTATGTATTTGACATCTGATGTAAAACCAAGTACTGCTTGTACTAAAAGAAAACGGGGGAATTGTTGGGAATTGGCATAATTGTTCGATCTAAGCTTGCTTTAAGCAACCAGGGGTAGGCCTTAGAAATCTCAGGGCCTGCTGTAGCAAACCAAGCTGCCAGAGTAACTGTGAGAAGCTCCCACGGCAATGACTCCCACATCACCCAATTAAGGAACTCAGAAAATATTGTTATCAGCAGCTGGCCTCAAGAACTAGGTCTACGCGACTGTTAAGCACAAAGGGGGTTGTTTTCCTAACTTCTAATCAAAAGGTGGTGTTATTTTCTAAACGGTTTGTCTGGGTGCTTTTGACCAATAATCTTGTGTGAAACACTGTCCACCCCTGTAAAATTCACTATAAAAGTTGGGCTATTCGGGCAATAAAATGGTGAAGCATGATCTGACTCTGCTGGTGTCTGTCGTGCTTTCGGCCGTGCTTCGCAACATTTTTGATATACTTCAAGCTCTTGCTTGCAGGATGCCCGCCATTCCAATTGTGAATAAACATGCTACTTCACTGAGATCCTTGCCTGAGCCTGTGTTATTGGCTGACGATTGTTTCTCAGATCTGGTAAACCTCCTTATCCTGCATTTTTGCAAGATGAAAAACCTTTATAGTGATCTATGCATATTCATGTATTTACACCAAATATGGAATTCTTCCAATTACAGACAAGATGGTTAAAGAAATCAAAACAAGTCAATAACTATCCTATAGGTTTTCTGTACTCTACCTTCAAAATTACTCCCTCCCAAAAGTAATAGCAAGCGTCTACAGGTTTGTTGGGTCAGCCATTGTAGCCATTCTGTTGTCTCATTATACACCATCTTCTTATCCTGTTCAGTTCTTTTTCTGAAAAAAACTTCCTTCAGTTTACCCATCAAACACAGTGATGCAACAGCACAAAATGTAGAACCACCTATGAGGAAACAGTCGCTTACACAATGTTCTAAGATACACAGATTTTCACTGAAGCCTGTATGATCACAATCAGAATTTTAACTATGGTGATAGTGATTAAACCAACAGCTTTCTAAAAAAAAAAAAAGTGCAACGATGTTAATTTTAAGTCTAAAATCCAAACAAATAAAATACTTCTTAGTTTAGCACATATATCAAAGGGGAAAAAAAACTCTTGTACAAAGACATGGTTAATACTATGAAAAAATCTATTGTAAATAGACATGGTTAATACTATAAAAAAAAAAGAAAAAAAAAAAGAGAAGGATTTCCATGGATTTTCCAATTTGTCTTCCAAACAGACAAATTATGCTTCTAAGGAAATTTTTATTGTCAAGGAAACTGCAAGGTAAAATGTGATATTAGAAGAGAAAATCATGTTCTTTGTGTATCAGTACCATTACTTTAAAAATCTTGAGTCAGTTGCCTGTAATTATATAATTACAGCCTGGAAGTAAGCTGTTGATGCAAGACTTGGGGCCAAAAATCCACTGTTAGAACATTCTGGTGCTAGAAAAGCCCATGAATTTTATTTTTCATTCTGATGCTGAAATGCAGGAAGGATACTGAACTAAAGATATTGGCCATTGCTGACATTCTACAGTAACTTATTCAACTACATTTAAAAATATGTAGGGGTATAATTTAAGTTTTTCAACTTTGCCCATACTGCAGGAAAAGCATAAATGGAATAATATGAAAGTTTAATACTAAGGATAATACTATCAATCTGATAGATTTAATATCAATCACATAAAAGTCAATAACTTCTCAGTCAGGAACAGTACAAATATTTCACTGCAGAGATGTTGCAGGAAGCACAGTCAAAAGCACGACAGACACCAGTAGAGTCAGATCATGTTCCATTTTATTGCCCAAATAGCCTAACTTTTATAGTGAACTTAACAGGGCGGACAGTGTTTCACACAAGATTATTGGTCAAAAGCACTCAGACAAACAACTACAAGAAAACAACCCCACCTGCAAGAAAACAACCCCTTGTGATTAGCAGTCACATAGACCTTGTCCTTGAAGCCAGCTACTGGTAACAATATTTTTCTGAGTTCCTCAATTGGGCGATGTGGGAACACTGTCATGGGAACTTCTCATAGTTGCCCTGGTAGCTTGGTTTGCTCAGCTACAGCAAGCCATGGGATTTTTGCTGTTTCAAGAAATCCCTCAACAATTCCCCCCTTTCTTTTCTTTTTTTTCTTTTTTTTTTTTTTTTGAGCAAACCACGCCCAATATAACACTTTTGCAAGTAAGCCTTTAACCACATTTATCACAATACCACATGCAATGATGATTGACACCACAGCAAACAGAATCCTTAATCCCTCTTTGACTAATCCCAGTAACCATCTAGGCATCGTTTCAAACAAATCAGTGAACCATTGATTGAAAGGATTGATACCATATTGAATCTTTCTCATGTGCTCTTTCAGGAAAGCAATGGATTCATGAACTGACTCATTATGATCAAAAAGGTTTAAACAGTACATTCCCTTAAAGTCCTCACACCCATTCCTTTGAGCCAAAAGCAAGTAGTCAATAGCAGCTTGATCCAGTAAAAGCACGTTGCAGACTATTTTGATCTGGTAACATCTCCTCAAGTATCTCTGTCGTGGCATAGGCTTGCTTCTCGACCCAGCATACCAATTTTTCTAAGTTGTTACGTGCGGCCGCAGATGCCACTCCAGGCACGAAAATCGCCAATGCCGCTCTAGCTGCAACCCCACACAATTCAACATTATCATTGCTATCCGGTGCAAGCAATGCCCATTTATGTCTGGTGATCTCACGCAACTGTAACAAGCTAGGAGCAAATACAATGAGTTTATCTAAGTAACATGGACATCTGATAGCATTTGCAGGGATACCTTGCCAGGCCCCATCCCCACAAATCAGAGAAACATCAGGAGGTAAGGCCGAAGCTGTATAATTGTTCCAAACACTACAGTTGTTACCCCTTGTCTCCATGCTATAAGCCCCTAAACCCTGCTTAGCAGCGTCATTGTAATCACAGGTGTTATTTGTATTTATGTACCCGTATGGTCCTTTCCAGGTTCCTGTAGCAGGATTCATCTGATAGCCACGGCTATGTTCACATTTGTAGCCACTTTTCAGGTTGATACAGATTTGACTACATATACCAGGGTTTTGGCATTCATCAAAATCTTCACAGTTTCTCTTGTCTACAAACTCAAACCCAGCTGGACAGTCACATTCATTTATGTTGCATTCCTTCAGGGGCTCATCACCCCAGTCCTTGCAGTCTCTCTGCTGGTTACACTCTTTATTGATATCTATGCATTCTCCACTTCTGCACTTGAATTTGCCAGGTCCAGAGCACTGAAAAACATTGTTACAGTTTGCTTCATCAGTGCCATCCAGACAGTCTCTCACTCCACTGCACTGCCTACTCCCATGGACACAGTTCCCATCTTCACATCTGAACTGGTCTGGTCTGCAGGTCCGAGAAGGGCAGTTAATTTCATCACTTCCATCCTTACAATCAGGATCTCTGTCACAGTCTTTTTGACCATCACATTTCCAGGACACTGGGATACACTGGGTTGACTGAGGACCACAGCTGATTTCATTTACCCGGCATGTTCTCATATGACACAGCTCAGCACTCTCATCAGACCCATTTTCACAGTCCGGATCCCCATCACACTGCCATCGGTTTAGCACACACTGACCACTGTTGCACACAAAGTCAGATTCAGCACACATCTTCTTCACACAAGCACTCTCATCACTGCCATCTGAGCAGTCTTCACATTTTGCTCTAGCACCGTTGGCAGCAGTGCACAGGCCGGCGAGGGCGAGCAGCAGGCAGAGTGCCCCGCAGCGCGGCAGCGCCTGCCACCGCCCTGCACCTGTGTCACTTATACTACTCCTATTACCCGTGCTGTTAGTGTCAGTGGCATCCTCCTGGTACCATTTCTGTCTTTGTCACCCCTTACTCTCCCCCTTTTCTTTTTGCCACTGACCATTCACCACAAATGGATGAGACACATGATTACTAGTTAGGAAAGAGAGTGTAACGTCTGCTATACGGCTGCAGGCAGTGCCAGCTGCAGCCTTAGAAGCTGTTTGTGAAAGAGCCTGCCAGTGGGCATTTGGCAGTGTAATCTGCGTCTCTGCACTCCTGCCCTGCAATAGAGCTAAATCGTCATTAGTAATCTGTAGAATGTGGCAACCCCACGGAATGTTATCCAGAAACGTAGTTATAACACCGATTTGGGGACGAATAGTCTTTTTGCATTGCAAGATAAACCTCTCATAAAAAGAATGCCAGAGAGAAGCAGCACAGCCGCCGCTGCCTCCATGGTTACGTCAGACAGGCTGCAGGGTCCTGATGTCCGTCCCTCTGCTATGTGCCAACTCGCCACACGGTGAGGGTCGGCTGCCGTTATCCACTGACGCCTCTGGTCTCCCGTAGCAACTCGATCTCAGATGTCCCGCATCTCACCGCGATTACTTTGTTTCCCGCGTCCCTCCGTGGCTCCCGCGTGTTCCGCAGTTCCCGCGGCTCCCCTTTTCCAGCGTTCCCCTGCGGCTCCGTTTCCCGCGTCTCCCCGCGGATCTTTTCCCGCGTCTCCCCACGGATCTTTTCCCGCGTCTCCCCGCGGTTTCTTTTCCCTGCGTCCCACTGCGGGTCCTTTGTCCGGGTCAGTGCTTGGAGTTTCTCAATGTCTCTCAGGTGTTCCGGCTTCTGCCAGGTCTCTCCGCGTCTCTCAGAGTCGTCCGTGGCTCTGAAGGGTCTCTCGGGGCTCTCTCCGTCCAGCAGTAGTCCCCCCGTGTGCCTCGGGTCTCCCGGCGCCGCTCCGGTCTCTCGGCGCCGCTCCGGGCTCCCGGCCTGTTCGGGTCTCAGCCTGTTCGGGCGCCATATGTTGCAGGAAGCTCGGCCGAAAGCACGACAGACACCAGTAGAATAAGATCATGCTCCATTTTATTGCCCAAATAGCCTAACTTTTATAGTGAACTTAACAGGGGTGGACAGTGTTTCACACAAGATTATTGGTCAAAAGCACTTAGACAAACAACTACAAGAAAACAACCCCACCTGCAAGAAAACAATCCCCTTGTGATTAGCAGTCACATAGACCTTGTCCTTGAAGCCAGCTACTGGTAACAATATTTTTCTGACTTCCTCAATTGGGCGATGTGGGAACACTGTCATGGGAACTTCTCATAGTTGCCCTGGTAGCTTGGTTTGCTCAGCTACAGCAAGCCATGGGATTTTTGCTGTTTCAAAAAATCCCTCAACAAATATGTGCTACATTTGCAATGTGCCTGTGCTGCACTTAGGCCTCCAGATAACAGGAGCCCCTGGGACCCCGAGAACCAGATCAAAACAACCTTATGGTTCGGACTGTGACCAAAGGCTCAGAGATAAGGAGGACTGTTCTTAAAAAGAGACGTCAAACATGCAAGGCCTCGAGATAACAGGGGCCCCTCAGATCTAGAGAATCGGACCAAACCAACCTTATGGCCCAGATTGTGACCAAGGGCTCAGAGACCATGTGCAAGGAGACGAGGTGAAAAGTTCAACCCATCTTACTTCATCCTCACGACCCTCAGCGCCCACCACCAGAAGGCACCATGCAAGCGCATAGGGGAGGAGTTTATGGAAATGACTTCTTGGAGCTAATTTTAATACTAAGCAGAGACAGGTTATGAATATGTATAGACATACTGGGAAACCTCATGAATATGTAAGTCTTTACTGCATATAAGCATAGCACGTTGCCGTATTAGGGGAGCACGACTTTGGTGGGACTGCCCCCCGTGCTGCCCAGCGCTGAATAAACATACCTACTTTACAATCTTACTGATTGTGGAGTCAGTTCCGCGAATCATTTGGCGAGCCAGGCAGGAGACTCTCTGCCTGCCCACAGAAGTGGCTGCGCCGTGGATGGCCTAGCGCGCACCAGGCATAATTCCCTGGCGGAACTCTGCTCCTCGGCTGCTCACTGCGGGGGCAGACAACAACCTGCTGGACTGCGGAGAAACGGTATGTATGGCATTTAAAGAAGGGGCTCCATATTGGGCAGCTAGAAAATTGCGCAGAGACTTCTAGCATACAGCATAGACCCAGAGGGGAGGAGGGTACCCTATAGGCTGACCAACAGAGTGGTTAAGGGGGGGTAATTGCTGACTGATAGAGCGGCCACTAGCGATCTTGGGAGCAGATCCGAGGTTACCACTGCATCCCACCTTTGGGAGCCAGGACGGACCTGCTGCTGACTGTATAAGAAGTAGGAGAAGGCTAGGCGGGCCTCTCACAATTGTGACAAGGTTACCTGGGTAATATTTACAGCTGCTGGAAGGATACTGCTATAAATGAAGTCTCAACTCAATCTGAATTTAGTAATATTTGTACTTATAAAAGGTATAAAAGGTATAAAAGGTAAGTAAACAGTGCTGGGTGTGCAGGGAGTCTACGCTCCAACACACACACACGAACATCAAACATTCTAAATATATAGAACATTGCTTTAAATAGTAAACGCGAGTATGCCTATACATACATACAATCAGGAAAGGTAACAAACAGTCCTTTAAGTTCCATGACTTAACGGTCATGGAACAGGTGAGCTAGATTGTTTTTCAGATGATATGGGCCTACTAAACAGATTAAAAATAATCCTGACAGATAGTTTTAAACATTATTGTGCCTTATACTTCCCTGACTTGTACCCATTTTATGTTATTATATCTCTAGCAACTGTAAAAAAGTTACTCCTGGGTTTTACAGAATGACAGAAAATTCATATTAGTTTCTGAAGACACAGGATACCTATCTGAACAGTCCAAATGATCCCTCTTTCAAAGAGTTCTTCTTGCAGTCAACAACTTAAATGTTACAAATAATACAAGTTTTACTGAGACACAAAGAATATCAGCTTAGTTATATATGGAGTGGTAATTCATGTCGAGAAAATGGTTGATATTAATAAAGAAGGGGGAGATTTGGGAATGTGGCCATGGGGGTTGGAAAGCCCTGTGGTTGAGATAACATTAGACTCTTAACGATGATGATGTTACTAAATTCATATTGAGTTGAGACTTCATTTATAACACCACTGATACTAATGCTTTATTTAAAACTGAATACGTTGCCCCCACATCTACCATAAGTTCCACCTCTTTTCCCTCCTTCCCCAACTTTACTTTTATAACCACCAGATCTGCTGGGGTAGACTCCCCCGGTCCTCTTCAGTCGTCTTTTGCACATGCGACCACCACCTCCCTTCCCCAGTTCCCTTTTCCATTTCTATTCCGTTCTGGGCATTCCTTTTTCCAATGTCCAAATTTCTTACATAGGGCACATTGCTCCTTGCCTAGCCGGGACTGTTCCTGTCTGGGCCTCCTTTTTCCTTCTTCCCCAATAACTGTTATCAGCCTCTTCTGCATGTTTAATTGAGGAAGATAAAAGTCCTTTCTCCTTCCAAATTGCCCTGTGTGCATGCACCACACCAAAGGCAAATTTCAAATCTGTCCAAATATTTGCCAGCTCAAGAGCTCTTATCAGTAGCCCCACCATATTTGGGAACTGTGATCTTGAAGCTTGAAAGACCCCTTTGGGAAAAGGCGACACTGCTGCAATACGCAAATGATAGCTATTGAAGAAGAAAAGGAATGTGTACAATGGACTATTAGTTTACTATTATTTTTTTTCGGCACTAATACTGTGAACCTAGCCTCTTTCCTCAGTAACAGAGTTTTCAGATCACCCATTCATGATTGCATCAAGACCATGGACACGGTATACTCCAGCTGACCAGACTTAAAGGATACACCTCTAGAAGATGTGGAGGATTGGTATATAGATGGCAGCAGCTTCATCTGCCAGGGACTTCGCCTCACAGGATATGCGGTAACAAACATCAGCCCAAAAGGTGGAAAACATTGCCTCCGAAGGGGTCTTTCAAAATTGAAGATCACAGTTCCCGAATATGGTGGGGCTATTATTGAATCCCTGTGGTAACACTGTCAAAATAAGCAGAGTTTTCCGTCCTCTATTATTATTTATCCATCCAAAGGCACAGAGTTTCTGGTTTTCAGTTGCCACGGGTGTGGTACAATTGCCTAAAGTACCTAGGAAAATAAAACTAACATTCACATTTTAAAGAAAATGTACAGCATTAAAGACACTTTCAGAGCAGGGCATAGCTGCATTACCTGAGCATTCCCTAGGCTTCCAACCTTAGATGCTATTGTGCTGCAGGAACCTGGTGTGCTGGCTCTAAAGAAGAGTAAGGAGTGTAGAGCAGAGTGGAGACACGATGGCTAGGCTCTGTGACCAGGTGGGGACTCGATTGTTCTTGGGCATACCGAGACTGATAAGCCTCACTTTTTGCTACCCTGAGCCAACAACCTGTCATGTTTTGACAAATGCTGTACCCTAGTGTACTTTTGCTCATTATAATATCATTATAATACCAGAACACACCTCCGTCCCAAAAGCTACCCGCCTCCAAGGTGCGACCACCCCTCACTGAGCATGTGCTCTGAATTTCTCAGAGCCTATTGCTTTAAATGGAGACGGGAGAACTTTTCACCAATCAGAACTAAGATATGCTTGACTAGAGTCCCTCAAGCTCCACCTAAAAGATAGAAAATCATATAAATTGGCCTAAGAGAGAGAGGATGTCAGGGGAGATACCATGCTGTGGGAATACACTACCCTGAGGACCTCCTGACTCCTGGGATCAGTCGATGGGCTGAGCCTCTCTTCCCCCCCATTGGGACGCCTTTGGGTGAG